GGCATATGTTGTATCCACACTTCAAGCCCAACGGGCTCTCATGTGAAAGGGCGTGATAGAGTATAAAATATATTCCTGAGCCTTAACCATCAGTTTAAGTTTTTTGTTGAGATGGTCCATAAACAAAAACCCGTCCCCATAGAATTTGATTCAAATTTACGCCTAATTTTATATTGACATGCTATTAATCCGACTAAACCGAGTAACGATTAATAGAGATCAATTGAACTTTATTTTGTCTCAAGCAATGATTGACCCGATTAACGCTTACTTGACACAAAGTTTATGGTTCGAGCTAAGTAAGTCGACTATTGTTTAATTGACATGATGGCAAACTGATTATGAGTTCCGAACTCAAAATCTCCCTTAGCTCCCTAATTAACAATTTAATAGAAAATATAGTAGTATAATAGTATATGACTATTGATTGCATGACATTCTAATCAATACGGAAATAATATACTCAGCATTTCGCATGTATGTATAAACTATAAAGCCCCCGAAACATTCTTTATCAAGCAAGAAACTTGAAAGAGGAGGATAATTCTTACTTCAAAAAGGTGAAGTCGTTCTTGTTGGGGCTAAGTATGACAGAGGGCTAAAACTTATGTGCTTTTGTCTGCTAAGAAATGAAGATGATTGTGTCTTCCTATGGAACCTTGCCATATCCCTTGAGTTAAACCTTGCAGCTTGTGCCCTGAAAGTCCGTGATCCCGAACAAACTTAGTAGCTCGGCTCATTAGTCAGTATTCTTGATGGTAACAATACTAAATCCCTTTTACAGAAGGGCTCTAGCCAAAATCAAGCTTTATCAACTCGAAGAGGCCCATGAAGATCTTGGCAAAGCAGCTAAGACTGAGCCTAATAATCAGGACATCCTTCGCAAAATGGAGAAGGTGGAGGGGTTGAAAAGAAAAGCTAGCAAGATCAAGGGAAAGAGGGGCACTAAGGAGTCCGACTTATCCCACACCATCCTCAACAAAAAAAAGGGAAGATCAGTAATCCCTCTGTCAATCTAGACTATATTGGGTTGCCTAGTAGCGATGCTCAGAGTGAAATTATGGCCTTACCCACCATGGACGCTGCTAATGAGATGATGGTAGAGAGCCTTATCACTACATTCACTGTTCTTATCCTTTTGAAGAAGGAGGAGGAGGATGATGTTGCTAGCTCTCCAAACAACCAGGATTCTGGACGGGCTAAGGACAAGGGACTGTAGACGCCTAAAAATGTCTCCCCAAAACCAAACCCGATGATGAACAACCTTTTACCGCCATTATTGGTCGGGTCGAGTATTTAATCTCGGGAGTGCTTAAAATCCATATTCAGTCTACAAATCAGTCCAAGTATTTAGTCAAAGCATAGTCTAACCCTCATTTAAGCCCAAACCATTTTAATCCATTTCATTTATTTATTAATTGAGCCCGATTAATAAATATTAAACCCTAACCCTAGAATGAGTCCTGAATAGTTGAAACGTCGCCTAATTATCATGTACTTAATGTAAAATAAAAGATAAAAATGAATTTAGAAGGAATTCCAGAAACAAAATTGTCGTGCCACAGCAAATTCGGCCGCACCACGATAATTTCTGCCGCGCCACGACAATCTCTGCCGTGCCACGGAAATTTCTTTGACCTGGTTTTATCTTTTTACGCGGTTTTGACTTTGAAACAGATAGAATTTCGTACCGTGCCTTTTCTGCATTACCGTGCCACGGCAATTTTGTCGTGACACGCCAATTTATTCCTCTGCGACGCCTCATTTTTAGGGTTCTGGACCTCACCCCTCACATTTCCCCTATAAATACAAGGCTAATTGCACAGTTTCAGGGCACCAACAACAATCCTCATTTCCTCTCTCTCACATTCTAAGTCTTAAACCTATTCTACCAACCAGCATCAAATAATTCTCTCTTTCTCTCTTATGCTCTAGCCTAAATACTTTCCTTCCTTATTCTTTCATCATACATCCCCTAAGTACTCCCCAAAATCTGTACTTTACCCAAAATTCTATACTTAAACCAAGGCGTGAAAGGTAGAACTGTTTGAGGGTTTGGCCCCAAATCAATTTTACTTTCATTTGAATTAATTTTCATTTTATTATTATTTCCTTGAAGTTACTAACGTGTTTGTTGTTTTATAGTTGCAAGCAAACGCAATCAAAGTAAGGAATCATGTTCCTTTTTTCATGTTATATTTCTAACGATTTTTTGTTATGTTTGTCATATATTGGGTTGTTAGATTTATGGTTAAATTGCCTCCAAAGTTATTGTTATTCTATTGCTATTTTTTATCACCATATTACATGTTAAAGGGAATATGTAATTGAATATAACGCCTAACAAGATAATTTGGACAGCTGGTTTAGGATCCTTTTTAATCTTGTTGTTAATCAAAGAGATCACGATAATTAGAACTATATGTTGCATTAACATTCAAATAATTTAGCTTAATATTAGTTTGGAGAAAATTGAATCTTTGTTTGTGTGCCTTTGAGATCGCAGGAATACTTTTCGCAATAAAAATCGAGTAGAGGTCAATACGGGCGAATGTGACTCCAGGACTCACTTCATACCATCATCTCCTTTCGTGGTTCCGAATCTTATAGAGTTAGTAATCACATGGATTATGAATGGGGTGTAACCTTGACGGGTCAATTGTTGTTGCCTATTGTTGTAATACTCCGTATTTTTATAATATTTTCATGTATATAAATTATTTATTTTATTTATTTTATAAATTAAAATGATTCATTTCATTTTAAAAGAAATTAATTATTTAAATATTATGTAAATGTGTATAAATTAATATGAGTCATTAATTAAGACAATAAAAGTATTTTGAATTGGGTCATCCTTATTTAAATAGTTGGATCAACTTGTTGGGAAATTGAGGACACTTAAAAGCCCAACAAGTTGGCCCCAAAGGAAGTAATTAAGGTGGAGTAGGATTTAGTAATGACATTCTTGTAATTATGAGTTTTTGTTTTAAAAATTGGAGTATAAATACTTTAAAACCCCAAGGCTTTCACTCAAAAATCATAATTGTAAGGTTTCACAAAAACCCCAATTGTTTTCCTTCTATTTTCTCTTTTCTTTTTCCTTTCTATTTTCTCTCTTTTCCCACGCATCTCTCTCCCTCTTCTCCTCGCCTCATGGCCGACAGCCACCGGCGCCACCATTGACCACCGCCGACCACCCTCCTTCTTTCCCTTTTGTTTTTGGTTCGGTATTATATATATATATATATATACGGGGAGGTTTTCCGCTAAAAACAAAGCTTATGGTGAAAACTAAAAACAAGCAATCTTAGCCTATCACTCAAGTAGCTCCACCTCCAGCCGCACAACTAGCTACCGTCGGACCATCCTGTAACCAGCAGCTCGCCACCGCACAAAATCTCGTCCGCGGCACCGCTCACCAAACACCAATCCGAGCAGATGCAACTCCCGAACCACACCACGAGCAGCCGCCTAAGCAAACACCATCAATCGTAGCAATAAATAGCAAAAGAATATCAAAATTCTAATTGCAAAACCAAGAAATCAAATCTGATGCATAAATAGCAAAATTATAACTATTTTAATGCAAATTAAGTGTTAGCACTGAACCCACATACCAACAATGATATACAAATTTTAATGCAAGGAAAGTTGTAATTTTTCAATAACTTATTTTGATGTCCTGCGTAAAACAATAACTATTTTACACAACTATACCAATTTATTTTACCGTCTAGCAATGATCCAGCTGATCAATTTTGTAGTTTGAGCATCAATTATATACCAAGCATCATTGAATAAAACTTTGAAAGAGTATTATGACAACATTGGACTTCAACACATTAGTTGTTCTTAGTTTCCTCATATAATCAGTAATACAATATCTAGCAACTAATCTCATCAGTAAAATTATTCAACCCACACAGAAATAATAATATGCTCAGTTTGTCTATTTATTACTGCCTAAAGTAACAGGACATCATAATAGCTATGTTTTAACAGTACATAATCTACCAAACCTAGGTCTATTAATCACTCTCCTCCTATACTCTATGCAATATAAAGATTTCGAGGAATTTTTGGTGCTCTAATATCACTAATTGATAATACTATCCAATTTTACTCAAATCAAGCTAAAATCAAACAAAAATCAAGCTAAAATCACACATAAAAATCCAATTTAAACAAATTAAAAAAAAATATACAAATGAATACCAAATAATACCATACAAAAAAATTAAGTTGAATTTGAACATAATTTCCCAAACCTAGGCCTGCTAATCTTTCTCCTCCTCCTATACTCAACAGAACACAAAACCATATGCAAAATACTAGTGTTCACAAACACTTTGATACAACATATAAATCCAATTATAAACATGATATCAATTCAAAACAAGCTAGAAACATAATCATATGAGAGAGAAAATCAGATTAACACTCACACTTGAATTCGAAATCAGAATAAAATCGAGTAACATAATCGGTTAACAACTAAAACCTGATAAATATTATCTTAAATCGATTAGAATTTTAAAAACCAGCAATTATCCAAGTTCTTAAATCAAATATGCAAAATAAAGCTAAAAATCAAAACCCTAAGTGAGCAAAAATCAAAGTAACAATAATTAACTGCAGTTTACGAAAGCAAGAGAGAAAAATGCTCTAAAAAACATATTTTACAAGCTTGTATCAGCGTTCTTCAATAAAATCATCAGATTCGTACAAATTCTAAGATACAAAATATACACAAATGTAGATCAAAGAATGCCATATAAAGAAATTAAGTCAAATTTTGACATAATTTACACTCTTATGAAACGCAAATAAGCATGAAAAAGCTCAAATAAAGTGTAATTACTGCTACATACAACTCACAATTGAATTCGTGACAAAAGAAAATCGACCCAAAATTACACAAAAAAACCTAATCTACTAAAATCAAGCAAAATCACACAATTGCAAATCACAACTACATCCTCTTGAGAAGAAAAACTATGGCAGTAGAAGAGCTTGAGAAATCAATGGCGGCAACTGAGATTGAAGACCAGAGAAAAGACGATGATGATTTAGAGGAAGTTGAGATTATCGACGACAACTCAAACGCCGAAAAACCTAGCAAATCAATTGCAACAACTCATCCTCTTGAGAATGATTGGACTTTTTGGTTCGATAATCTTACTTCTAAATCAAAACAAGCTGCTTGGGGTAGCTCAATTCGACCCATTTATACTTTCTGTATTGTTGAAGAATTCTGGAGGTTTCTCTTTTTATCTTTGTTTTTCAATTTTATTAATTTGATTGTGAATTTATTGAATTTGGTTGTTTGAATCTTTTTGTGACGTGGGTGATTGATTGATTATGTTCTTGATGTTGTATGCAAAGAAGCTGAGAATTGTGACTAATTACAAGGTATTCGACGAAATGCCTCACTGAAATTTTTTTTCAGTTTTCTTTTTTTTTTTGTTTTTTGTGTTTTTGTTTGGTGTTGGATCTGAATGTGAATATTTTAGAGCTCCAAATCTGAGTATAATTGCAAGAAATTGATTGAGGCTATAATTTTGTTGCTTAAGCTTGCTGTGTAGATGATCTGAACTTCTGAAGTGTGTATATAGTTCAAATTGGGGGATGTAGAGAGTAGTTGTATTCTTTTGTGATTTGAAAACAATTAAGATATGGGATTTTGTTTAAATTGGGGGGGGGGGACTTTTATGTCAACTATTACTTTAAGGAGGCACAACGAAGTTAAGGGAATTCGAAGAAGTAATTTTCTTCTTACTCTTGGACTTAAATTTTTGCTCTTTCGCTACACATTCCTTTGTGGATTTTTCAGTTTCTTTTTCTCAATTCTCCCCCCTCCTCTCTTCTATTTTTGCACGTCTAAGCATAAGTTTCAGAAGATAGTATGTAATGAATTGAATTTTGCATTTTTGTTAATGCTTTTGGCCCTTGTTATAATTTTTGCTGTGACCTTAGATTTCTTCATGAGCACAGTAATAGAATACTAGTCTGAACTTGAGTTTTCGTGTTCACGTCCATGTTCACCATAGCTTGATTTCGTAGTTATAAACATTGTTTCAACTTTTGATATACAAGTAATATTTGACTTAACTTGTTTTGGGACCGCTCACTTCTCTTATTTATGTAATGTTCGCACTTGTCATTTTCTGCTCTTTTTTATTTTCAGGTCATACTAAATGATCCGTGGCCTGGAAAATGAGTTGAAGAAGGCAATTATATTACAATTCCACTAAGGGATGAGTTTCTTGAAAATGCCCGTGTTTTTATTTGTGAAACCTATTATTAGCGCATTGACATGGGGTATGTTTATGTTATATGACTTTGTGTACTTTGTTTCGGTGAATAAAGAGAATCTTATGGCAATAACTGTTTGATTTGGACCTTGTAGTCTATTTTAGTTAACCAACTATGATATCTCTCACTTGCTTGTCTCCCCTGTAAATCTTCCTTCAAGTGGTGTAGATTTTGGTATTCTTGGTGAACTTGCAGTCATATATTGCTGTAATACATGGTGAACTAGTGTGATTTAGATGTGTTGTGCAATTATCAAGTAATAATTTGAAGTTCTTGCTGAAGACTTTTGTTCAGTTATTCCTTTTTGCTTGTGTGATCTGAAGTATATGGACTACAATAGATCTTGTAAAATTAGTCGGTAACAACTTGAGCGAGGTTAGGCACAACCAGATAGGTAGTTTCAACAAGGGAGCTGCTATGGGTCTTTGTACTTTTACGTTTCTGTTGTGATCCTTGATTTTTTCAGGTCAAAAGTTCATTTAGATCTTATAAAGTTTATTGCATTCATTCTTTGTATTAGCAACACCTGCTTAAACTAGGAGAATCCAAAATTTTGGCAGGAAAGGTGGGGCTGGTTTGTTAATCTTGATCTCTCATGGTCAATGTAAAATGTTCACTACAGTTTATGTAAGCTATCCTATTTCGTGTCAGGTGGGCTTCTACGGTCTACTTATATATTTTGCTACGTCTATGGGTTCACATGTAGTGGCTGCTCATCAGGTGGGCTTCTAACTATTTGCTTATTTCCCAAATGATCAAAGAAATGTTTGCTTATTTTCCAAATGAGTAACTAATTATTTGCTCATTTGACAAATGAGCAAATTAATGTTTTCTCATTTCACAAATGAGCAAAGAAATGCTTGCTGATTTAATGAATGATTAAAGAAATGTTTGCTCATTTGACAAATGAGCAACAAACTATTTGCTCATTTTTCAAATGAGCAAAAATGTGCAAATAATTGTTTGCTCATTTATCAAATGAGCAAATACTTTTTTTCTCATTTATCAAATGAGCAAATAATTTTTTGCTCATTTATCAAATGAGAAAACAATTATTTGCTATTTGCTCATTTGATAAATGAACAAATAAAGTAGACGAGTACCCAAGTATTTTTTTTACTGATGAGTGTATTTTCATGTTTGGAAATGTATCTATTTGTTTTTAGGACTTTGTGTTGTAATTAGAATCTGCAAATGTTTTAGTTTGACTCTAGGACCTTTTCTTACGTGTTACCATTAGAATTTGGACATGTATCCATCTTATTCTAGGACTTTCTCTGCTTTGAAAGTTGATACAAGTTGCTTTTGTCCTCTTGCATCCTGACTCCTTATTGAGTCTCTGAAAAGAGATGAAAATCATTCTCTTAGCTGGTATAATAGTAAGAGCAAACACAACATACTACTGTATCACAACATATCATATACTACTCACAAAGTTACAAGCAAATATCATTTGTTTCAACTGCCTAAGATCGAGTTTCATTTGCATCAGCACAAACTAAACAATTTTGATCATCAGAGCCTATCTAGCTTCATCAGAGCATTAATTTGTCAAATGAGCAAAAAAATTCAATGCTCCTTTATCAAAATAGCAAACTATTTAATGCTTATTTGTCAAATGAGCAAATAATTCTTGCTCATATTGTCAAAAATTAATGCTCATTTGTGAGTGTGTTTGAATGTTTTAAATACATTAGCCTACTAGCTCAAGGGTAGAGCATTGTGCAAATGCACAAAAGATATGGGTTCAAATCCCACATAAGTTCATTTATATAATGTGGAGACACAAGTTTGTATGAGAGTTTAATTGTAACAAAGTTTTTATAGTTATAAATCATTTCAAACCATTTTTTTGCTTATATAATTTAGTACAAATTTGATTTTTTTTTTTAATTAACTTTGTTTATAAAGATAACCTATGTAAGAATTGAACCTACATCCCCTATAAATTTGCATAGTGCTCTACCAATTGAGCTAATAGGTTTTATCATAGGTTTTAAATCATTTTCTATGTTCTAAATTTTATTCTTATACTGTGAGCTTTCTTTATGTTCTAAATTTTATTCTTATACTTTGAGCTTTCCTAAAGTTAGGAGGCAAGGCAATAAGCCTGAAATTCAAACCAAAGCCGACACCCCAACACCTCATGGCACCACAAGCTCTCACAAGATCTTGGACGAAACTCTTAACCCAATGTTCTAATTTTTTATTCTCATGTTCTAAACTTTCTTCCTATGTTCTAATCTTCAGCTAATTCACTTTTACTTTTTACTTGTTCTTTTCATTTTGGTTAATATAAATTACTAAATCATATCTTATAGTTATGTCGATTGTTTTATGTATGCAACACACAACTTTACAAATTAGGCAACTCATCAAACAGGCGCAACAACCAGCCACCTATTTTGCACTTAACACACTCATGTAACACTCTACAACCCTCCTATAGCATCTGCACTCGCTGCCCAAAGTGCATCCACATTAGAGCAAACTTCTTGCAGCCTCCCACGCATACCAAAACAGCCCAATAGCCGCAACATCTACACGATACACACACAGCACATGAACGCACTTGACCCTTATTGTCCTAGACTCAGACTCTCTTGCAAGCCCCTAAATATACACATGTAACACAGCACATTTTTTATGAGCAAATTTTTTTATCATTTGTCAAATGAGCAAATATTTTTTTGCTCATTTGTCAAATGAGCAAATAATTTTTTGCTCATTTGTCAAATGAGTAAATAATTTTTTGCTCATTTGTCAAATGTGCAAATAATTTTTATTTTTTTTAATGTAGCTCCAAAACCAAGTGAAAAAAAGTTCTTTGGATCAGCTTTCAAGTAAGAAATAATTGAGCAAAATGCCAAAGATAGCACAGGAAATACAAGCAGAAAATTTGGTAGCTGCTTATATTGGAAATACTGCAAAAGGCCAACACCCTTGAAACAAGGAACGATTCAAGACAATTAAGGTGGGAAAGATAAACTACATGCCTATGACCTTATTAAACTTCTACCATATATGCAATGACTATAATTGTCAAAGGTAGTCAATCCATGAATCAGTCCCATACTTCCAGTCCTCTCAGATCACATTTTTATAAATATGAGCACTTTTCGGAAATTTTGAAGCTTGAGGTGAATCGTTAGGCAAAACATAACATGGGTAACCCGCCAAAGAAAGTCTGTAATATATCTCCATATGCCATGGCATCAATATAGTTGTTTAGTGGATCACACATACTGATGATGACCCCATAATAATAAACAATGTGGAATACAAAAAATCATCCAAGATCCAACACAATGGAACAACAAAGCATAGGTTGACTGCACCATCAGTGAAAATTGTTGGCAAAGAGAGATTGCATACCGTAATGACTCTGGATAAAACCATATAACAAAGGAATCTTTTCTTTGCACCAAGGCCTCATTTCATCTGGATTGTGTCCATGACAGACATTATAATAGTCATAAGCTTGAAATGCAAGGAAGGGAATGAAGATGCATATACACAGCAATGCTCCTGCTAAAAGAACTTGTGGAACCAACTGAATCCCATGTAAATAAAAGGTTATCAGGGCAACCTATCCCCCCCTTGCAACTAGCCACTCCCACCAAGGATCTCAAAACACTAGAGCCAGCCATGCCCATCCCTGAAACAACCCGTCCCCATCACCTCCACCACCGAATCACAAAACCCCAGCCACGCCCACCCCTAAAACAGCTTATCCCAGCCACCCGCACCGTCGAAACACCCCACCCTAACCTATCCTCACCCCAAATCGATTCATTTCAGCCTTCCCACACCTCGAAACGCCTAACCCTAACCTTGCCTAACCCCTTAAAAACGCCACCCCAGCCCTCCTCACCATGAAAATAAGAGCATTCAAATTCGAAATTTTCTAGAACACCAAAATTTGATAATTAGAACATCAAATTCGAAAATTATGATGAAAATACTAAATTGAGATAATTCAATTCAAAAATTATAATGAAAAACCAAAATTAAGGGCATGATATTCGAAAATTACTTACCAAAATTATATATATATATAAACTCTTTTCTCTTCATAATTTTATTCTAGCTGTTTTATTAATTTAAAGCATGATTTTGATTATGTTTTGGTACTGATTTTGGGTATTTGATGTTGTTAAATTATTTATATAAATTTCAGATTTTTATTTAATCAAAAACCCTAATTTATAAACCCTAGAATTTGGGAATTTATTGTTTATGGTTAGGGTTTGATCCTAGCTAGGTTGTTGTGGTTGTTTAATTAATGGTTTAAACATGTTTTGATGAGTTTAAAGCTCTCAAATTAATGTTGGAATTTAATTATACACACTACTTTTTAATTATTTTTTTAGGGTTTGATTACCCATAAAAAGGGAAAAGGTTTTAATGATTTAAATATAATTTCCTAGTCTATTAGTGATGTTTTATATTACATAGGTGTGCTGGAATTTTATTTAAGTCATAAAAACTAAGTCTTTTTGAAAGGATTTAAAGTACCCACTTAAAGAAAAGGTTTTATGCCTTTTATTGGGTTAATTAGTAAGGTTTAAAGTGTATTATAGTTGCTGAAAAATTTGTGAGAATAGTGGATTAATTATAGTTATGTACTATTATTTGTAGGAAGCTTCAAGCTAGGTGATTTCTAGCGAGTGTGGCCGAGTTTAGGCATTATTCAAGGTGTGTATGTGCACAAGTTTGTGTATGCATAGTATCATGCTAGGATTGTAAAGTATGGTTTAAGTGATGAATTAGTAGCGCATGTTTGGTTGATTTTATGCTTGGAATTGATGTTGGTTGAGCATGAGTTGTTATGCAAGCATGTGAATATATTATTTGAGGCATGATACAAGTTGAATATGTATGAATCTTGGAAGTATGTTTTATTTTCAAATATCAAGAAAGCATGAATTTAATAAGCAAGGTTTATATATGTTTAAAAAAGCTAAGTTATATTTATTGAGCATGATTCATGATTTATATTCTCACCATATATTATTGGAGTTGAGTCAAGGAAGTTAGTTTATTTATTTACTTACTCACATAAGTTGAAATTGGGTCAATGAAGTTTATTTGTGCAATATATGCACCAAGGTAGTAATAGTGTAATTTTGTGCACAAAACTAGGCAAGGAACGTTAATTAAATAAATAGTATGTGCTCACTAGTTAATTCAAGAATGAATTGGAAGTATGTGTTGATTGTTGTCATATTTATTCTTGATTGATTGGTTGGAGTTATTACAAGTTAAATTGGTAAATCACGAAAAGTGTAAGAGGATATGCACCAAAACTCTTGGAACGTATATACCTGGAGTATGAACATATGGGGGGAGTTATGGGGTTTTATATTTAACCATAGCTTCTACAGGGGTACATGACGTTGTACTTTCTTTTATTATTAATGCGTTGGAATTCCGTCACAAGTGTGACA